TCTCTCTCTCTCTCTCTCTCTCTCTCTCTCTCTCTCTCTCTCTCTCTCTCTCTCTCTCTCTCTCTCTCTCTGAAAGAAGAAGAAGAAGAAGAAGATGAGAAGAAGAGAAGAAGAAGAAGAGATGGAGGACAAGAACAGGGAGAAGACGAAGATGGCGTCCTCCTGCTGTCTCGCCTGCAGATATCTGCTGCCACATACTGATGAACCAGCGTGTCCCTCTGTGCTGCAGGTCGCTAGTGAGAAGACCAGCCATGGCGCCCAGGTAGGCCCTCTGCTGCTGCAGGTATGGCCACCGCCTCAACCTCCTCTCTGCCTCCTACCCACACCTCTACCTCTAGTCCTAGCGCAGCATTGTAGTCGCGCTGCTCCAGCAGCGTCTTGCCCAAGAAGTGAGCTACTCGAACTGTGCCCAGGAGCTGGGCGGGCCCAGCTCTAAGTAGCGCTGGGCCTGGGTGATGTGCCCACGACCTGCGATCTGGGCTGCGAGAACATTGGTCCGATCCACGGTCCAGATCGCAGGAAAAAGTCCTGCTCCTGGGCCTGGCTCAAAACGGCCTGCCTGGGTCCCTACCGGACGTCCAGGCCCTCCCTGCTGATGCAGCAGGGAATGTCCGCTACCGGACAAAACTGAACCTGGCCCAAAAAGGGCCTGGCCACGAATGGAGAAGGCCCAAAACGTGGCCTTGATCCCAACAGACCAGAAGTCTGTTCGGACACACTGCAAGTCAGAAACGACGCCTGAAACAGGCAAAAATAGAACAGACAAAATGAGTCAGTGAATAAATAAATAGACAAATAAAATTGAAATAAACACATAAATAAATAAACGCTGCCTCAAATCAAAACCTGCGGCCTAAAGGATGGCCGTGGACCTCCAGGGCACATGCCTGGGATGGCGTGAGGCCTGGGGCCCCCCAGCAACTACCGGGCCCACGAAACGGGGCCTGTGTGCAGGCTCAGCATGTAACAGCTGGTTTTTAACCCCAGTGGGTTAAAAGAAGCGAAGAAGCTTTCTGCCACAGCTTCTCTTCTACTTGAGAGAGAGCACTCTGTTAAAACAATTGGCTGGTTAACCCAAATCTAGTTGCTTGTTAACACCAAATAAGCTTAATTCAGTAGCTTGTTAATCCAAGCGGGTTAAAAGAAGTGAAGAAGCTCTCTGCCAGAGCTTTGCACCTATTTCAGAAAGGGCATCAGCAAAGGTGTTATTTAGCCCGATTGCTTCCTGTTGGGTTACTAACATAATATTCATTTAGTTAAGTCAACAACTGAACATTGGATTAAACCAAACTCAGCGCAGTAATGTCATCGATTGCAACGTTGTGAGTCTTGTGACATCGTTTTTTTTTTTTTTTATCAATAGCGTCAACTCACTAGCTTGTGAACCCAATACTGGGTTAATCCACTACTGATTCCTATTGGGTTAACCCACCCATCAGATTTGTTAACCCAACCACCCATGATTAGCATTCAAACTATTTATCATTTCATCACACCATTTTGATGCTCCAGACACACTTGAACACAAATAAACTATACTTGACATTTGTTTAAACATTCTTTAATAACCACATCGGCAAAAACAGGGTCCGCATCGTATTTAGCTAAGTCACTACTCAATTTTTGAGTTTTGAACGGTTTTCGTAATTTGATTCTTAACCCAATAGGGCTAACCCACACGTCAGATTGTTACCCCGAGAGGGTTAACCCACCCATCAGATTCTTAACCCAATAGGTTTAAACCAGTGGCTTGTCAACTGGCTTAACATAATCAAAGCCTTCTCCCACAGTTTCTCGAGCCCCACTACCCATGTGGAGAAAACACCCCCCAGAAGGATAGGGTTAACAAAAAGGGTTAACAAGGCACTAGGAAAGGGTTACCAGGCCCCTGCAGTACGGTTAACGAAAGCGGCTTGGAGATACTGACTGTTGACGTGGCAGATCTCAAGGCAACAGCTTTCACTCAGGAACTTAAGTCTCTCAGGAGCCACACAACATAGTTTCTGACTATTCCAAGTCCTGACCATCAGGGCTCTTTGACTATTCCAAGTCCTGACCATCAGGACTCTTGTTACCGTCACCACCTTGAAAAAAAGGAAAAAAAAAACACCATAGCTCATTGGGTCACCAGCCGGGCCGCCCGGGTCACCTTGTTTGACCGGGCGGCCCGGCCGTGCGAGAACCAGCAGAGACCCAGCAAAAAAAAAAAAAAAAAAGTGATGCACAAAAATAAACTCAACAGCTTTTGCCTCAGGGTCACGTCCAAATTCTTTGCCAAATTGGTATATATGCACGTGAGAGGCACAGTGGAGGTGGAGTTCAAAGAAGAAYGAGAAATTTAATGATTTCAATCTGCCCTTGCTTTTTGTTTTTGTTTTTGTTTTTATTTTTTGAAATGTGCCCGTTTTTTGTTTTTATTCTTTGTTTCGCAAAGTGCGCTCTTTTAGTTTGTAGTTATGTGAGAATATATATATATATATCGTCAAACAGAGTTGCCCGGTAAACCATAGGCAGAGAGGGAGAAGAGGACAACAAACGAGGGGCTGTGACAGATATACATATCTTGTAAGCAGAATATATTATATATATTTATATTATATATCGTCAAATAGAACTGCCCGGTAAACCGTAGGCAGAGAGGGAGAAGAGGACAACAAACGAGGGGCTGTGACAAACTGTTTCGTCGGAGTTTCACC